TCATTATTATCATTATTTCATTATTATCACTAGTATCATCATTGCTGCTATTATTGATATCATTATCATAATTATAATTACCATTATTAAAGTCTTTATTAGTAGTAGTAGTAATAGCAATATCATTATCATTGTCACTCGTATCATTATCTTTATCATTATCCTTATTGTCATTATCATTATTATAATTTTCATTACTACTACAACTGCTATTATTATCATCAGCCTTGTTTCTGTTATCATCATATCATTATTATTATCATTGCTATTATTTTTATGATTAGTGTTCCCAAAATTATTGTTATCATTATCATCACTATTATAATTTTATTATTATCATCATTATTATATTTGATACTAATATTATCATTGATGTTATTTTCATCATTTGTTATCATTTATATCAGCAGTCATTATAGTAATCATATTGTTATTGTTATCAATACCATAATTTATCACTGATATGGAACATCATAATCACTATCATTATCCAAACTATTGTCATGACTGATATCAATAATCAGCATGTTGGGGTCAAAGTCGGGGTGGAAAGGAACTAGCCCTCCTTTTCCTGCATCCACTTGGATATGGGACCAATTTTGATTGATTGAATGTCATTAATCAACATCATCGGTCTTATTGATATCAATATTATCATTACCTGTAGTAATGTTACATTGTTCTTCATTGAATCCATTAGTTTCATTAGTTTCGTTATGGTGAATATGAACATATACTAATGATTTATTTTTTAATGATGTGAAATGATGGACAGATAAACGTGTAGCCTTTTAACAAGTTGAATTATAACAATGGGAATTATTATTTCCCGTATCCGTAACCACCGCCATAGCCGCCTCCGCGACCGCCGCCATAACCACCACCATAGCCTCCGCGACCGCCTCCGTAGCCGCCACCATAACCGCCTCCATAGCCACCATGACCGCCTCCGTAGCCGCTACCATAACCGCCTCCGTAGCTGCCACCATAACCGCCTCCAGAGCCTCCATAACCGCCTCCGTAGCTGCCACCATAACCGCCTCCAGAGCCTCCATAACCGCCTCCGTAGCCGCCACCATAGCCGCCTCCAGAGCTTCCGTAGCCCCCACCATAGCCTCCTCCGCGACCGCCGCCATAACCACCACCATAGCCTCCGTAGCCGCCACCGTAGCCGCCTCCAGAGCCTCCCGCCAGGACACAAGCAACCATGGCCACCAACAGAAGAGCGACGGTATATTTCTGAAAAATCAATTCATACGATAAGCTTACATGATACACGTACTTATGGAGACAGTAGACCTGGGGTTATATAATTAAAGTACAGATAGAATACTCGGGAATGTGCCTTTCAAGTATGAATGGGTTTCATTTGAATGTATAATGAGTTTATATCTTGAGCTTTGGATTGAGTTTATTTATAATGCCCATGATTTGGTTTCAAATGTGTACTTTAGAATCAATTATATTTTAAGCATTTGATTTGACCCTTGCCTTTAGATTAGAGTTCCCACAAGTGTAGCAAATCATACGATGTGATTTCCTTTTTTCGCTTCATGTGTGGTTGATAATGATGAAGATGCAAAGAAAGGGACATACTTATCACTAATGGCGATAACAAGAAACAATAGTTATAGTTACAGGGGGTCGATATCGATATTACTTGCAGAGTGGGTTGTAGCAGTGATATACACATATCTATATATATACCTATCTTTATGCATACAGACAGACATGTATATATATATGTAAATATATATATAAACAATAAGACACACATACACGTGTGCACACATATATGTGTGTATCTATAGATTGATATACATATATTGAAATATATAGAATATATACACATACATATGCATATATATATATATATATATATATATGTATATATATGTACATACAGATATATATGTGTATATATACTATATATATACATATGTATACATGCACACACACAAATGCATATACATATATAAATATATATACACATATGTGTATATGTATATATATACGAATATATATATATATGTATGTGTGTGTATACAGACGTGCGGAAGCAAGCACACGCATTCACTCAAAGGAATATACTTACCATCGTGCAAAGCTTTCCGGTATGAAGTCAGGCCAGACTGTGCTTCGGGCTAAAGGGAGTTCAAGCTTTTATATCCACCAAGGGAATCGCTCGGCCGTTCTGCGCTTGAGAAACGCGTGTCATGAGATGTGATAGTATATTCCTGACAGAATTTTATGACATTTTTTCACTAGATTTTACGTGCAGATTCTGATTACGAGCATACACTGAGATGATCAATTTACATTTCTTATAAATTACCAGTTTGATTGCTTTCTTGTTTAAGCAGGTTTGTGAATACTGTTCATGCTCATGTTTGTTTGCTATATTACGTTGTACGCCACTATCATATCAGCGTTTTATTGCATTATTTGATTGAATTACCCTATTTCTAAATATTTTTTTCTTTAATGCAATTATGCAGACTTCTTTCATCATCACATATATATATGTGTGTGTGTGTGTGTGTGTGTATGTGTGTGTGTGTGTGTGGATATATGTGTATGTATGTGGATATATACCTATAATAGGGTAATGATAGTAAGAATTTTTTTTTTTTTTTTCCTTGCTGTCAGAAATTGTTTATGTCCTCTAAGAAGAGGAATTCAACATTCATAAGAATAACTGCAATATTCCTTTCTCTCTCTCTCTCTCCCTCTCTCTCTCTCTCTCTCTCTCTTTTTCTTTTGAAAACAGATAAACAAACATATAGATAAAGAGACAGAGAAGTAGACAGATCGCTAAAAAATGAAATATATCCCACAAAAAAGTAATAAACGACTAACTCCCTATTTACCAGTTATCCTTTGAAAGATCTTAAATTGTTTATTTGCATAACTCGATATCCCTCGCCTTGCGTGGATATTACACGTCAACGGTAATGTATCCATGGGTATTGCTCTTTGTTGCATTATCATTTTCAACATCATTATTATCATTATAATCCTTAAAATTACTGCTACTACTACTACTATTATCATTGTTGTTTATGTTATTGTTATAATTTGTTATCGTTAGTATCCTTATCATTATCATTATCATTAGCATCATCATTCGTGTTAATATTATTACTGTTATTATTATTACAGTCATTATTGTTATTGTCATTATCATTACAATCTTTATCAATAATATCATCATTATTATTATTATCATTATTACTATTATTATTATTTTCATCCCTATCATTGTTAATTATATGGATATCTTTAGTATTATTATCCTTGTCATCATCTTTTTTATTTTCATTATCATCATTGATATCATTTTCATTATCAATATCATAATAATGATGATCCTCATTATCATTATTGCTATTTGATATCATTATCATTGCCATTATCATTATCATGTTATAATCATCATTGTTAACGTAATTTTCATTATATTTATCATTATTATAGTTGTCATTACTATTAGTAGCAGTATCAATAGTAGCTACATTATTATTACTATTGAGAGTATTGTCAGTGCTATTTTTGCTATTATTTTTGTTACTTATTATCATTATTTATATTATTCTTGTTTATATCTTCATTACTTTTATTATGAATACCATTATTATCACTAGAATCATTATCTTTATAATTATTATTACTATTGTCATTATTATCATTATTAACCTCATTTTCAATACTACTACATTTGATGATATCATTATTATTGTTGTTACAGTCTTCATTATTATCATGAGTGTTATCATCATCTTCATTATCATCACTTTCATGATTAGCGTTATCATTATTGTTTTATCATCGTTATCAATATTATAATTATCGTTGCTATTAATCTCGATCTTCATTATTATTTTAGTTATCATTGTTATTATCATCTTTATTATCATTATCATTAACATTATCTTTTTTTCAATAACATTATCATTAATATCATAATCATCATCATTGTTATCAATTATATCAGCATCATCCCTAACACTTATTTATTGCTACTGTTATTGTTTGCATAATTTATCACTGACATTGCACATCATAATCACAATCATTGTCTATTAGCATTATCGATAGCATTAATATGTCGGAAAGTAACTGGCCACATTAACATACCATCTCGCGGCTTAGTGAGCATTTTCCTGAGCAAACATGTCCCCTATGTCCCTATGGATATGGGACCAATTTTGCTTATTGAGTATCATTAATTGACATCGTTGGTCATATTGATATTATTAATATCGTTATTTATAGTAATGTTCCTTTATTCTTCATTAAATTTATTGGTTTCGCTATTGTCGAATATCAGCCCGTTCTTTTTATCATTATTATTAAATCTATTCCTGTACTCATTATGTTCATTATCGTTAATTCATTACGACATTGCACTTCATAGAATAAATGTATACGAAGTGTTGGATTTATGATTTAATCATTAATGTTGAATGATGGATAGATACACGTATTGTTTTTTATTTTATTTTATTTATTTATTATATATATATATATATTTTTTTTTTCAACAAGTTCAGTTATTACAATAACAATTATTATTTCCCGTATCCGTAGCCACCGCCGTAGTCACCATAGCCTCCGCGACCGCCGCCATAACCGCCTCCATAGCCTCCATTACCGCCTCCGTAGCCCCCACCATAGCCTCCGCGACCGCCGCCGTAGCCGCCACCATAACCGCCTCCAGAGCCTCCTCCGTAGCCCCCACCATAGCCTCCGCGACCGCCGCCATAACCACCACCATAGCCTCCGCGACCGCCGCCATATCCGCCACCATAACCGCCTCCGCGACCGCCGCCGTAGCCGCCACCATAACCGCCTCCAGAGCCTCCTCCGTAGCCCCCACCATAGCCTCCGCCATAGCCTCCACGGCCTCCTCCGTAGCCGCCACCATAACCGCCTCCAGAGCCTCCCGCCAGGACACAAGCCACCATGGCTGCCACCAACAGAAGTGTGACACCGTATTT